CCTAATAAAGACTGAGGTCTCAAAAAGAAATGAGCTGATTCTTGTTTTTCTGGCGCAGTGAAGACTCGTTAAATGTGTCACTTCTTTTTTATTTATGTCTTCAGGCCCCTGCTGTCCACCTCGGGAAAAGGTTTGTTCCTGCAGAGCTTTTTGTATACATGCCCCTAGAGTACAACTGGCCCCACACTCTTTATTTTCCCCCCTTGTGCTTTTTCTGGTGCAAGATGAGCTCGACGGAAGCATGAGTAACCTTCTAGCTTGCTACCTGTTCAGTTTGAACCCTCAAGCTAAGTCCGTTTTCACTTGACGGCCAACATCTGAACGCAGGCGCTGTTTCTACCTCGAAGCAAAACTACGCCCTTTGCCTCAGTTTCACGTCCATTCTTTTGTTAGGGTGGTCTTTCCCAGAGACGGTGAGGACAAATACAGGTCTGCGCCGCAAGAGGGACTCCACAAATCACTTTTGAGCTTTTTCTAGACATGCCGCCACAGTACAACCGCTCCCACACTCCTATATTCCCCCCTTGTGCTTTTTCTGGTGCAGGATGAGCTCGACTGAAGCATGCGTAACCTTCTAGGTTGCTATCTGAGCAGTTTGAACCCTCAAGCTACGTCCCTTTTCCCTTGACGGCCAAAATTTGAACGCAGGCATGGTTACTGCGGGATACCAAAAGTCTGCCTTTTGTCTCCGAGGGACGTTCATTCTGTGTTATGGTCGTCTTTTCCAGAGACGGTGAGGACAAATACACATATGTGCTGCAAGAGGGCCTCCACACAACCCTACAGAGCTTTTTGTAGACATGCCCCTACAGTACAACTGGCCCGACACTTTCTATTTTGTCCCCTTCTGCACTTTCTGGCGCAAGATGAGCTAAAGTGAAGCACGAGTAACCTTCTAGGTTGCTATCTGTTCAGTTTGAACCCTCAAGCTACGTCCCTTTTCCCTTGACGGCCAAAATTTGAACGCAGGCATGGTTACTGCGGAATACAAAAAGTCTGCCTTTTGTCTCCGAGGGACGTTCATTCTGTGTTATGGTCGTCTTTTCCAGAGACGGTGAGGACAAATACACATCTGTGCTGCAAGAGGGCCTCCACACAACCCTACAGAGCTTTTTGTAGACATCTAGAATAATTAATCATCTTCATAAATACCGACTAATTTCTGCAAACCAATATGGATTTCAGAGAGGTAAATCCACTGAGTCAGCTTTACTTAACATTCGAGGAAAACTTATCAGCAATATAGAAAATCAATCCTACACTATAGGCATCTTCGTAGATTTCAATAAAGCTTTTGACTCTATCAAGCATAATATTCTCTTTGATAAACTGCCACACTACGGAATTAGAGGCATTTCACTTAAACTATTGCGCAGTTATCTGACAAATCATAGCCAGTTTGTGGTAGCTAATAGTATAGAATCGGACACTGAACATATAAAATTTGGTGTTCCCCAAGGATCAATATTAGGACCTATACTATTCCTTCTTTATATCAATGACATTGTTGCTATCCCCCATACGCCAGACATAGTACTTTACGCCGATGACACGAGTGTTTTTTTTTTCATCCAGGGACCTATCATCTCTTATTCCTGTCACAAACGCATGGCTCAAAAACTTATCGAAGTGGCTTGATGCGAATCAGCTGCTTCTAAATGTTAACAAAACAAAATATATTGTTTTTTCCTCAATTAACAGACCAGTTAACCTTACTACCGAAATTGTATTCCAGTCACGGTCACTAGAAAGGGTTACCGAATACAAATTCTTAGGCATACATTTTCATGAAAACCTTCGCTGGACATGTCATGTGAATTTTGTGAAGCGTGACATCGCACAGTCTATTGGCATGCTGAATAGATTTCGTGCCTTATTACCAATGTGGCTAAAACGTCAGCTCTATTTCACTACTGTTCATTCTCGACTGCACTATTGTTTACTTGTCTGGGGGGTTACATCTAAATGTAATATGACTAGTTTGTACTTAATGCAGAAAAAAAGTATACGATTTATTGAAAACCTATCAAGCCGCGATCATACATTCCAATACTTTGAGAAACATCGTATCCTGAATATTGAGGCACTGTATAATCAACGATTGTCTGAGGTTATATTCTCCCAAGTTAAAACTGACCGTGAATTATTCCTTTCTACATATACGAATACTGATACACACTACAATTTTAGAAATACAAACTTTATAAAAATCAGAACCAGAACAAATTACGGTACGCAATTACTATCTTGGCAGATTCCCAATCTTCTCAACCTCCACCCTGGCTTGATCGATATAATCGATCATAATTCAAACCTCTTGACTTTCAGAAAAAAATCAAAAACAATATTTTTTACTTTCCGCATAATACTGTGGTCTTCTAAATTATGTGTACAGATGTAATTGTAGTAATGTAGTTCATATATTTTTGTTGCATGTTGCGAATTATTTATTTTTCATTGCAAGAGCGTATGTAGTGTAGTGATCTAGTTACTGCGTATTTTTTGTTTTTGTTTATGGTTAACTATAGCACTCTACCACTAGTCTGCCTGCTGCATCTGCTGCATCTGCTGCAAGTGTAGTCTGGTGCTAGGGGCCTGGTCAGGTGACTTACTGTCACCTTTTGCCTCAGCACCATGACAATCCTGTATTGTCAAAAGTTCCAATAAACAAACAAACAAACAAACATGCCCCTACAGTACAACTGGCCCGACACTTTCTATTTCGTCCCCTTGTGCACTTTCTGGCGCAAGATGAGCTAAACTGAAGCACGAGTAACCTTCTAGCTTGCTACCTGTTCAGTTGGAACCCTCAAGCTACGTCCCTTTTCCCTTGACGGCCAAAATTTGAACGCAGGCATGGTTACTGCGGAATACCAAAAGTCTGCCTTTTGTCTCCGAGGGACGTCCACTTTGCACAGCCAGGATAACGCTGTCCGCAGTCGTGCTGGGACGTCCTTGCTACGGCTTGGCCGACACATTTGTTTTCTCGGCTTCCGTACTTTCCCCACGTCGGCTTGTTTCAAGTCCAGCTACAGCATTCTTGTCGAATGGTACCTGTGAATTCTGAAGGCTTGATGTCGACCTGTATTCTCTGCACAGCCCCCTACGGGGTTCTGCAGAAACCCCCGTCTTAGTAAATCACGTAGGTTTTCAATGAAGTGTGTCTCCACATCTTACGGGGGTGGGCAAGCAACACCGAGGACACAGTCTTCTTGTCTGCAGTGCCTCTTTATTCTCAGACACTACAAAACCCCACGCCACTGTTCAAAGGCTCGAAAAATCAGGACTACCTTCAGCTTTTGCGTTCGTACATAAACTTTGACACCAGCTGTGTTAACCAACCTGGGCTCGTTCATTACAGGAGGAAAGCAAGCACTCGTATCAAAAATGAATCGTCGCTCTAGCACTCTTCGTTTCCTAGACATGAGCAGTACATAAAAAACAGCCGACTCTCTTATTAGGCCAACATTAATGTGCTTTTCTGGTTCAATTATGAAATAATCGCAATAGAACCATTTTTATTTACTGTGCAGGCCGTTTCTTTAATGCAACTTCTCAATTACCTAAAAGAAATGGTAATCTGAAGAGTCATCTTTTTTCACTAAAAAAAACAACAAAAAAAAACAGAAAAAACACCAGAAATGAGCCGAGTTCTCCGAGCGGTTTTATTAGGTCGATAAAACAACTTTTGCGTTTGCTATCTCGAAGAAATTTGACACACAAACACTCCTACCTGGTGCGACACCCTTTCCCGACAATTGGATAGCTTAATGGTTTTCTAATTCCGAGCGAGCGGCAGCTCTTTGAAGTATATCCATCCACTTGTGCTCGGGACACCCTCCCCGTTGATCGATGAGTCTCGATTGAGATGAGCTGACACGGTTTCACTGCACACACATGTTCCTATGATGTTGTTTTCACGACCACAATCGATGAATGCACTCCAGCGGTCTTGAATATCCACAGGCGAACGATTGAACTTGGTCGGGCTTGTTAATTTCCGAGCAGAGTCCCAAAACCTGTTTTCGCGAATATAACGAGTTCTAGACTAGCTGGAGCGATGAAATTTTAACAGTGCGTCTAAATTCAGAGCGCGATCATTCGCTGCGAATTAGAACCCTCTAGCTATCGTAGTTTTCTTTATACGAGCATATGTGAAGTCAAAACATCGTACAGTGAAGCCTTACTTACACGTAAACTTCTGTTGATAACTTTCTTTTTAGAATACCTACATCGATGAGACGCGCCTCGAATGTTCCTCGGAACATAATCTTACTCCCTGGTTAAAATAAATGTCCTAGCTAGCCTACTTTCCGAGCTTCGTGCGATTGAATCACCTCCGGTTGCGAGCAAAACACGCGGCAGCCATTTGCTTTTTTTGCAAAAACCAAACCAGAACCACGAATGGGCAAGGTATATGTACAGATGGTAGCGAAACTTGGGCCAAAACACGGTACAAAACAAATTGCCAGCGACATCAACCAGGAGGGTCACGTGGTTACGGTGCGTTTGAAGCGCGACTAGGAGACGTTATGGCAAACTATATACAAATAAAATAACTTTAATTTAAATTATACTAAATTGTATTTTTAAATTTTGTATGTTGTTATTAGTGGTCTTAAATAAGGTTTATCGCGCTCGAGAAAGCTGAAATAGCTTTTATTACTACTGATATTCTAACTTGCCCTTAGCGCCCTCTGTACTGCACAAGCAACAAGGCTGGCTTTTAATAGCGATAAATTGCAGAGGCATCGTGCTGCACGAAGAGGCAGGTTCTTGTTGTCCGTCTGCTTGCTTCTTTTAGGTCTCCACGTGCTTTTTGAATCGTTCTACCGTCACTTCAAATAGTTTGAAAAGTTTAGTTCGCTCAGCCTGATTACGCAAGTTACGTGCGCAGGAGCGTAATATCAGCGTGATATAGGAACAGTCACCTTCGTGCGGTTGGACGCTACTGCGTCCGACGGGCTCAACGTCCTTCGTGACAATGAGCTCAACACGTTATGCAACCAGGCGTTGCTCCGTGGAAGAATGCCGAAGTGACAACCGCACGGCTGGCGTCTCGCTGCACCGGTTTCCTGTCGACACTCGAAGGTGAGATTTTGTTCCTGTCAGTGAGGTGCCTGCTGTGTTGTGGCCATGACCCCCTTGTAAAATGTTCTCTTAACTGTTGTTAGTTTTCGCTGACTTTGCAGCGTTGTTCGCGCTCATTACGAAAGCGCCCAGGATATTTGAATTTACCTGAACCGATTTGCCCCTCAGGAGTATGGGGTCATACTCATCGACGCTCTAATCAAGGATGCAACACGACATAGATACATTTAAAAGCCTCTGCACTAAAGGCTCATGTTTATCTTTTTGTGGTTCATACAGAGAGTTTTGCTCACTAATCTGTGAATGTCCTCGCTCCGATTTGCTTTGGTGTGTGCATATATTGGCTACATTTGCTCTTTGCAAGTACGCAAGACACTTAGATAGCACCGCGCTTTATCCGCAGGCGTGAAGCATGGGTTCGGTTCTCCAACAACCGGGGCCTACAGTGGAAGACTCCATGGCAGCTACGAAACATGGTTGTTTGCTCTTTACATTTCAAGGCGTCAGCTTTCCTGCGGCCTGGATACCTACGCCACAATGCAGTGCCGACTGTGCTTGCCCCTGAAGGTGACCAGACCACTAGACCTTCCGACGCGCTTTGAGAATAACCATGTCAAGGCCCACTGATTAGGGAAATAGTTAGCACATGGGCCCGAAAAATTGCTTTTGTGGACTTATAACATTTATGCAATTTCACAGAAACGACACGTGGCGAAGTTTCAAGCGAGAGCTGTACAGTTTCTGCAGTGGCAAATGGTGAGCTTTTTCGCTGTACCTACCATAAAGAGGCAGCAAATGCCGTCACCACTGTGTTAGTTCATGTTCTTCATCACTTGAGCATTTTGCTATAGAATAAAGTGTGCTTGGACAAATGTGGGGAATCAGATAGGAGTCATTGATTGAGTCTCATTCCAGGCCCCATTTACTACATTTTTAACCTCAGGTGAGTAAGCGACTCCAATATGGGCCCACAGACCTGCATTGTCCACGTTGACAAGCAGCTTTCGGAAATGAAGCTGTCCTTGAAATAAGGTTATTTCCCTTTTCCGATGTTAAATATAAGCGAATTGGGGAGAAATTCAACCGCTACTCTTTCACTAATTTCATATTAAATTTGCAGGAAGGAGTTCTCCAGCCCCACCGACCTACCGATACCCGGGCCGCTCGGACTCCCAGAGTTCCTGTGGCATTCCTGACGACCAGTCTTCCGAAATGGAACTGTCCTTAGAAGAAGGTGATTTTTATTTTCAGATTTTAAAATAGGAGAATCAACCAAGAATTCAACCGCTACTCCTTCAATAACTTTGTGTTAAATATGCAGGGAGGAGTTCTCTATCTTCATCGAGCTGCACATCCTCCAGCCGCCCAGACTCGCGGAGTTCCTGTGGCATTCCTGACGTACGGTCTTCAGAAATCGAGCTGTCACTGGAAGAAGGTGATTTTTTTTTTTAATAGGAGAATCAACCAAGAATTCAACCGCTACTCCTTCAATAACTTTGTGTTAAATATGCAGGGAGAAGTTCTCCATCTTCATCGAGCTGCACATCCTCCAGCCGCCCAGACTCGCGGAGTTCCTGCGACATTCCTGACGTATGGTCTTCCGAAATCGAGCTGTCACTGGAAGAAGGTGATTTTTTTTTTAATACGAGAATCAACTAGGAATTTAACCGCTATGCCTTCAATAACTTCATGTTAAATTTGCAGGGAGGAGTTCTCCAACTTCATCGACCTGCACATACTCCAGCCGCCCAGACTCGCAGAGTTCCTGTGGCATTCCTGACGACCAGTCTTCCGAAATCGGGCTGTCCCTGGAAGAAGGTAATTTTTTTTTTCATTTTCAGATGTTAAAAAAGTAGAATGAATCTGAAATTCAACCACTAATTCACTGTTTTCACATTACCTTCGCAGAGGGATGTTCGTCAGCTTTGTGGGACCACACATATTCCTGTCTCCCACTAGAGAACAGTCCACTGGAGGCTCATGGTAAGTGATGGGAGAGCAGGGCGTTTCTGCGCGCCTTGTTGCTCTGACTTTTTTGTGTTTTTTGCTCTTACTACAGTTATTGTAACAGCACTTTCTATTTTTTCTATTTATTTTGAAGCTGATCATAGCTACGCCCTTCCTCAAAATGCTGTTCCTGCTCACGAGTCCAGCGGAGACATGGCTGACATGGCGCCGTCGATTTATGGACCGTCACCTGAGGACTCTCTCTCTAGCAGTGCCGGTGTACTTTCTCACAGAGGTAAGTGCTCTTTCATTTTACCTCTTGCACCTTTTTGTTTTGTATTGTTAAAGTGCACAAATTAGTCGCCGAACATAAACAACCAAGGCTAGTTATAGGTATCAGATGACTTGAAGATACTAAAATTTATTCTGAAAGTTGGCGGTACATACAAGGGTACATATAGCACTATGTCACAGAACACAAGGCCGGATGGCAGCCAGCTACAAACTGGAGTCAGTTGAAAATCCACCATTTATTTGTGCTTCACATTATTATATTTAAAGTAATGTATACAAAATGTTCATAAAGTTTCACAGACGAACCACCAAAACACCTGAATGGGTTTCACTGAATGGTAATGCAATAATCTTTTCGCAAAGCCTCGTGTAAGGCAGCATTTTTTATAGCTAGCTAAAAACTGCCTGGGCCATACGTGCATGATGCTAACCTTATTTAAATTTGATTTGCACGTATGTAGTACGTTATCAAACTTTTCACTGTACCTGGTTTTAAAAAAAAATTGTGCAACTTGACAAGGAATGCAAGTTCTTATTGGCCACCATTTACATATATATAAACATTTTTACAGTTTACTGATCTGGGTGATTTGTCACCTTGCAGCATCAAGCAAGGCCCGCAGCACTGACAAGAGAAAGATGGACGCACTGAGGGCCAAGGTACGACAGTTCCGAGAACAAAACAAGAGGCTGCAAAGAAGGCTGCAACGACAGCGTCAGATGAGGACTGTTGCTGAAGTTGTTGAGAGTGTCCGCATTCATGTTTCTCCAGCTGTCGCTGCACTCATTGAGGCCCAGCTTAGGATGAGGGATGTGAGCCGGTTTGGTCGACGGTGGTGCAGCCAGAACAAGTCTTTGGCTTTGGGCCTCTACTTTCATAGCCCAAAAGGCTATAAGTATTGTAGACGACTGCTTCGGTTGCCATCAGTCCGATCACTGCAGCTGTGGCTTCAGCGTGTTCCACTGAGAGTTGGATTTTACCCCGAAATTTTCGAGCTGGTAAAGAGGCGAGCGACTTCTTTTTCACGAGCCGATCGAGCCTGCAGCATAGTGTTTGATGAGATGCATATTAAAAAAGAGCTCTCATACAACCCCTCATCTGACAGGTTTGAAGGACTTGAAGAGTATAGTAATGGTGTGCAAGGTGCGAACCTATCAAACAAGGCTCTTGTGTTTATGGCAAAAGGAATTCGAACACCATGGAAGCAGCCACTTGGCTACTTTTTCGCTCATAAAGGCACACCTACGAATGTCCTACAAGATCTTCTTTTCCAGTGCTACAGCCTCCTTGTGGATGCTGGCCTGGAGCCAGTAGCTGTGGTATGCGATCAGGGGAGCCAAAACATCTCCCTTTTTTCAAGCCTTATAACCCCCGAGAAGCCTTACATAAATGTCAACGGCAAACCTCTTTTTTTCCTTTTTGATGCTCCGCACCTCCTGAAGTGCCTCAGAAACATGCTATTTAAGTATGACTTCAAGGTTTGTGATCAAGTAGTAAAAAGCTCGTACATAAAGGAAGCTTATGAAAAGGACCGGAAACTTGAGATCCGTTCGATGCCCAAGCTGAACGCAAAGCACTTTGATTTGACGTTCTGCTCAAAGATGTCGGTGAAACTAGCGGCCCAAGTTTTTAGCAACCATTGTGCTGCTGCAATGTATGCCTTCGTAACGTTCCAGCAATTGCCAGCTGCAGCTATTCACACAGCGAGATTCATTGAAAGAATCGACCGTCTCTTTGACAGCCTAAATAGCTCCCACAAATTGGCAAAAACGCCCTTCGCCTCTGCGATGCATAATGGCTCTGTCCATGAAGAGTTTTTCAAAGAGTGCATTGAAGTTTTTGAAACCCTGCAAGTACTCGGATGTAGACGGCAGCCAAACTGCATTCGTGGCTTTTGCTTAACAATGAGGTCTCTGATGATGCTCTGCAATCACCTCACAGTTAATTTTGGTTTCACCTACATTTTAACCCGCCACTTAAACCAGGATACGCTTGAAAACACCTTTGCTATTATACGTTCGAAGTCTGGAGCAAACGCAAACTCTACTTCTCGTCAGTTTCAGGCAGCGTTCAGACATCTTTTGGTAAGCAACTTGTTCAAGCTGACTGAAAAATCAAACTGTGCTGAGGACATGATGTCCCTCCTTGCTACTCTTCCGGTAGGCCTATCGGCACCCTCTGCTTCTCTACCCTTGGGAAGCTCAGTTTTCCTTAGCGCAGCAGACGAGTCGCCCTTAAACTACCCTTCGGCCATGGTAGCGAACAACATGGTTTATTTTTCTGGGTGGCTTGCGACAAGATTTTTGAAGGGTCATTCTTGTGTCGGGACATCTCAGCGATGTGAGCTGAAGAAAGAAAATGCATGTTTTTCTGAAGGAAACCAAGTTTTACTGTACTTGAGTGTGAAAGGCACTGCTGACTCGGACTTTGGAAACCTGTCAGTTCCCTCCCCTTCCTTCACATCATTCGTTGAGGCATGTGAGCGTGTTTTCGAGGCGAGGATCAACAACCTTGTTTCAAAGGAGGGCATAGGGCGCACTCTTTGTGTACTTTTTCATCAGGAGGTCCAAAAGTCTCTTGTTGTGTGTGACAACAATGTGTATGACGACTTGTTTTCTCTGTTTGCAAGAGTCAGGCTACACTGGTTTGCACGAAAAAAAAACACTGAACTTGTTGATGCATCAGCAAGGTGTAAAACTAGGCAGCACGTGCAAAGGCTAAGCTCTTGAGACTACACAGCGTACATTTTAAAAGTAGTATATGTGCTTTCCTAGCCTTTCGTATGGTATAAAAGACTATTTTCGTTTGCTCGATATTTTGCAACGTGTCTCGAAAAAATCTGGCGGGCGCACAATTTCGCGATCTAGAACAATATTTATTGCTTTCATATCCTTGGACTGAGTCATTTTTCGCGAGGTTTTTCAACATGTGAAATTATTAAATTTTAGGTCATCGCGAAAGTCAAGGTGCTTACTGTGCTTTGGGTTACTGACTGCTCATGTCGTTTTGTCACTGAATTAAACCTGTGGTTTTAGGGTCCGACGAAACACTGGCCTATTACCTGCAGCGTACTGGAGGGCAGCAAAATTATTTACGCGTACAAGGGAGGTTACAGAGTACACAGCACCATCATACTCAAGTTAGAAAGTTTTCTGGATTATGGTACCTTGCCAAACAACGGCAAAATCGGCTGTTATTTTCGTTGAATACAGCTTTCCTCCAAACACTTTGAATTTTTTTTATATTGATGGCTGTCTATAAATTGACAATGTCCACACAACAGGCAACCAATTGTACAGTGTGTTACGTGCTATCCTGTCATAATGTGCCTTGTGTATTGATCTAGTTTTCTTCCACCTTAAAACTAGGTATGATTGTATGCTTCTGACGAGCGTTCTGGTTGAGTGATTGTAAGCAGTTTTAAGTGAATAAATTGTTAGTGCAACATTGGACTGCATTTGAGTTACTGTTGCGTATCTTCAACGCTAACACACTCGAGAAACGTTATTGTTATTCACTTTGTTTGTGAGGTCAATCACCTTAAAGCCGCTCCCACATTTCTGAAAAGCTGAAGAAAAAAGCAAAAGTAGTTCTGTGGGATGAAAAAAAAATATTCTCGTAGTGAGCTGCCTAAAAAAGGCGGCCGCATACACAAATTAAATTATTTTCGCGCAGATTTAAGAGTCCAAACGGGGTGGGGTAAATTCAACATAAAAAAACCGAGACTGCAGGCAAGAAGGACAACACACTAAAAGAAGTCAAACATAGCTTGGCACAGCTTTGTTTGAGATTTTTTAGTACCAGAAAGCTTTGAGGCTTTTTTTAGAAATCGGGATTGCAGGCAGAAAGGACGATCGTCCTTTTTGCCTGCAGTCTCGGTTTCTTGTTATATTTAATTTTCGCGCCAAACAATACATCAAAGTGACGTCACGTTTTTGGTTTTTTTTTTCGGAAGTGACGTAACTTCCTGTTTATTTTTTGTTCCGCCGGAAATGTTATCACGACACATAGATGGCGCTAGCGAAGCCCCATGAGCCGCCATTTTTTCGACACGTGGGGTTCTATGGAAGCTTCGCTACCATATGTACATATACCTTGGAATGGGCGGTAAATTTCTAAATACTTGACCTAAATAATTTAAACTTGTTGTGGAACACGGGTCTCGACGACATCGTTTTCAAAAATAAGACGATTCCCGTAATTCTAAGTTTGGTTTTATTAAACCAGGGCTGTGTTTCAAATCTCACCCTAATAAACCCGAGTTACTCGGGCGGATCGTGTCACGTGACAGCAGAAATGAAAGAACGCTGGACGCAGGCAGGTTTCAAAACGCCAGGTGTACAGAAGCTTTACCTCGCAGTATGATTTCGTTAATTTTAAAACACGGCCAGGAATTACATTTTTTATGAATGAATAGATAGATGACCCGTTTCGAATGAATGGATCCATGAGTGCGGCTGAGCAATTCCGACCGGTCGGTAAATCCCGCCACCTGGTGCCTTTTGTTTTACCATTGAAAATATTGAATTTCTGAAATCTATATTACGACCTTGAATTTACGATATCAAATGGGGGACACTTGTTCCCAGCCGCCCCTGGACTGGACAGAGACCGATTTCTTTTCTTGTGTGATGCGAGTTTCGCGAAATAAACGGCGTTTGAAAGTTTTCACATCGAAGCCAGCCATTCGCTTTCCTCACTTTAGGCACCGATCCTTTCTTCGATCTCGCTTCATTAATACTGGTCGTATCTCGTCACCGCTAGCACCGATGTGTTCCTTGGTCTTTCTAGACTCTACGGACACCACTTTGAACGTGTGTAATAAAAGGTTTCGCGATGCTACGACGCTTTTACCGTGGGCATGGTCATGGCGGCCAATTGTACTTTCCGAGCCTGTGTTCGGACCTCCGAGGCTGAATTTTCGTTTCCGAGCCGCGATGTTGGTGTCAAACGTGAGCACGCGTTCTGTAGAAGACCCGACGACTGTAGTTTGCCTCGGATCGAGTCGATAGTTTACTGTAGGAGCACTGATGCGACTTCCCGCACGAAAGCAGTCATTTTCGTGTTCGATATTGCTCACGGCTTCATCATTTGCTACCACAATTTGCTTTTTTGTTCTGAAGCGCTCCCTCGGGTAAAAGGAACGTTCGCTATGCGCGCGCGATTATTTTAATTCATTCATCTCGTGCGGCGCGCGCCTTCGCCGGAGCGGCTGGTCCTTTGAAGGCTCACCAGAGCGCGAGCAAGACTTCAAAGAGCTGCCGCTCGCTCGTAATTAGAAAACCATTATAGGTACGTACAACTATCAAATTGTTGGGGAAGGGTCTCGCACCAGGTAGGACTGTTTGTGTGTCAAATTTCTTCGAGATAGCAAACGCAAAAGTTGTTTTATCGTAAAACCGCTCGGAGAACTCGGCTGATTTCTGGTGTTTTTTCTGTTTTTTTTTTTTTTGCGCGTTCTTTTTGTAGTGTTAATTCTAAAAGAGGGATGCCGTAAGTATCGCCTAATACCTCAACAAAAAACAAAAGTCCGAAGAAAAAAAAAAAACAAATTTTCTCGGGGGATTGAACTAAGATCCTGTTGTGTACGAAGCGCACATCTTACCCACTGAGCTAATCCACAGCTCGGAATAGGCGTGTTTACAATCCGTTTTATACGAGACCCA